TTTCATCGATTCCTCCAAAGACAAACCCAGATGGATCAGGTTCAGGTACAGTGTCCACCTGCGCAGCTGGGGGGAGCTGTTCCTCAAGTGGTTCCAAAGTCGGTTTGCTATGGAAACCCGTCTCCACAAAACTGACACCCTGTCTTTGTTCTTGACTTGTATCTATTTTCTTCTCTCTCTCAGAATCTCCTGTAGGCCTTCCACTTTCCATAGTAAAGTTACCAGCCCCTGAATCTTGTATCTCCAGAATCTCCGTACCAGCATCTTTAGAGAAGAGCAATTCAATTCCGAAAGCTTCAAAGTCTAAAAGTTTGCAGGTCTTTGTCGAATTGGTGCTACCAATACTTGACAGCAAATCACCCTTGTCTTCTTCCACATCTCTTAACGCCTCCCAATCTGAGTCATCTTCAGAGTCTCCTTGCGAGACCCTATTGTAGCGAGGGTTTGGCTTCTCAGGCGTCGTGGAGTTTTCTTCAGTCGTTGGCCTCCAATGCAGCTTCAACCCAGTCACCGATGTCTTTCCCGCAGCTGGAGGAAGAGGAGGGCAAGGTTTTCTGATCACCGTTCCTGTTTGGGGACGATTCAAGCGGATAGGCACACTTTGGGACGATGATAGACCACAATCATCGTCCCCCATCGACACAAGGGAGCTTTGCGCATGACTTTTAAAAGGGTCACGTGACCCAACTTGAAAGACCTGGCCCAGATTAGACTTTCGGATCGGGTTATGTAGACCCAAGTCCAACTTTTCAATTGATTTTGTAAATTGAGCGCGAGGTGGCCCTTTTTTCGATTGCAGCACCTCAGCATAGGATTTCTTTTGGGTCGTTGGATCCCATTCGCATTTTTTCAAAAAAAATTCCCTTAAAGGGCGAAGCAGTCTCCTTTAATCTATTGCCCAACTTTTCAGTTTCCATAAACGCTTGGTCAACTTGACCTTTTGGACGGTCCACCCAGCTCTCGCCACATGGCCTCCAACAGTCCATGTCATCATCTTCTTCTACTTCCAAACTGTTCCACAGCCTTGCTTCGACTTCCGACGCCAACCACACCTTTCTCCAACAGTCATTCGCGAAGATGTCCAGGCTTCTTGGGATTTTTTCCAATCTTCCACCTGCAACTTTAATCTTTGCCGCTTGAAGGTTTTGCATGCAAAAACCTTTCAAGACCCCACCACAGGCCACTTCTATCTTATGGAATATGTGCTCCTACCAGAGGTTGAAGGGTAAACCCAGAATCTTGATAACTAAGGTCTTCTGCGAGATATTCAGTTCGTTATAGGAGGGCGACCAATTTTCCACTGCAATCTGGCCAAGTTTGGTTTCAAGGATTCTGCTCACAATCTGAAGTTCGGCCATGTCAAGTATTGCCTATTCTTTTCAAATGGGATGAGGGTGATTTTCTCTTTTGGCTGAAGCGTCTCCAGTAGGATTTGCAATACTTCTTCCCAATCCTTAACCTCTGTTTTCACTTTCACAACTTTCCTCTTAAACCAGTCCCCATTCCTTCCATCCCATATTATTTTTGAACTCGTATCTATTGAAAGTACTGTTATAGGAGTAATCTTTTTAGTTTGCTTTTGCTGGTTTGCTTTCCCAGTTTGGCTCTCACTCACCTCCCCAGATTTTTGTTCTTTCCTCATAGTTTGCTCTTCAGTATTCGAGAACTCCCATTTTTTCTGGTTGAAATCATCAAGTGCACCTGCGACCATCTTCCACCCCTGTTTAGCTTGTCCCTCCGGAAGGCATACTAGTTGTTTTCTCCCTTTGCCAAAGAACTCTGTTAGTAAAATAAATCCTCCATTTCTGTTCCTTCTATTTTCTACTGTGAATCTCTCCCCATTGTTTGTCGTTTCATTTCCCCACCCTTGTATTCTTTCTGCAAATAGAAGGCCATCTACGAAACCTTTAAGCCAGTCCACTACATCTGATTCCATTATGATAGTTGCTCGTGGGTCTTCCCTGATTTTCAATAGCTTCTTCCCTCTGCTTGTTATTTCCTCCATAAGGACCCTCTTCTTCTCCAACTGAAGTATTCTTCTCCATTTTGTTGCCTGAACGAAACTCTCTATATCCTCTTCTAGAACTTTGTTTTTATTCAGTCAATGATAGTGTTACACTATCTTCCTATCAAACCAACTGAACGAAACTCAAAGATCAAATATGACTTGACAGTGCAGAAAATGAAGAAGATACTGATAATGGTTATGGTGATGTTGACAATGATTGATTTTATATCTAATAATCCTGGCCTTACAAAAAAAGGAAATTAAGTGAAACTTCGTTAAAGAATATTTTTATATCCAATATATTTGGCTATAAAAGTTAAACATGTCAGATAACTAATAATTGATACAATCCAGAGAATAAGTATTCACCATTATCCATGTAGGATAATTAGATAAAGTGGCATATGAAACATAGGGACCATTGTGACCTACTCAGGTTTTTTTTCCTCATCCATTTCCATCGCCGCTAGGACCATCAAAGCTTGCAAGATGTGAAAAGACCATAGACTATGCAACCAACACCAACAAGCTCTCATGAGGTAAATCCGCAAGGTATTATCATTCCTGTTGACTTTCCCACTAATTTTGTTTCTAGTGATGCTCTTATTGCTATTGATGGCTTTGATGTCCCTATCGCTATCTGTAAGGGTGTTTGCTCATCTACCGCAAAACACCAAACTGACCATTTCACTTCTTGTAGTCACTTGTCTCCTTTCCATGCCTTTCTTGTAGCCATTTCCCATGTCTATTCCTAAGAATGCCACAGAAACCTTGTTTTCACTTGAATGGACAAATTCTATGAGGGAGGAAATGCGAGCCTTACAAAAAATGACACGTGGGAGTAAGTTGATCTTCTTGAGGGGAAAGAGCTAGTTGGGTGTAAGTGGGTGTTCACTGCTAAGCATAGGGCAGATGGCTCAGTGGAGAGGTATAAGGGGAGGCTGGTAGCAGAGAGATTCATGTAGGTTTATAGGTTGGATGGTGGATTATGCTGAAACATTTGCCCTAACTGCAAAAGTGAATTCAATAAGAGTTCTCTTATTCCTATCCACCAACCTAAATTGGATCTTCATCAACTTGACATTAAAAATGTGTTCTCAAATGGGGACTTGGCGGAAGAGGTATACATTATTCAATCTCTAAGATTTCTTGTTGAATGCAATAAATACAAGGTTTCTAAACTGAGGGTGCCTGGTTTAGTAGATTAAATAGAGTTGTCCAATAGGTGGGTTTTAGGCAGTCCCAATCAACTCATACATTGTTCGTTGTAATATTTGCATGTGTAGGCATAGGGGCATTTAAGTCTTTTTCTTATGTATTGTCACCCTAATTTATAATAAAAGAAGTGGTGTCACCAAGGGCGGAGATAGGACTTTTTATTGAGGGGGGCTAAAAGCTAGCAAGTAGGGGTGGCCACGAGACGAGCCTTCCACGAGCTATTCGAGCTCGACTCGATTTAAACCGAGCTTCGAGCTGAATTCAAGCCCAATATATAGGCTCGTTTGCTAATCCAGCCGAGCTCGAGACCAGTGAAGCTCGACTCATGAGGCTCGCGAGCCTAGTATTAAATAAATAATTTTTATTATATATAATAATATTTTTATTTTTTATGTACAATAGTAAATAATTTTAAACATATAATTTTTATTTTTCAAAAGAAACTTGGCTTATAGTCGAGCTCAAGCCGAGCTGAGCTCAAACTTGCAAGCTATGAACCGATCCGAGCTCGAGCTCAAGCTCAAGCCTGATGCTATTCCTGCAAGCCCAGCTCGAATAACCAAGTATTCGGCTCGGCTCGACTCGAATCCACCCCTACTAGCAAGCATGGATAGGAGGGCCAAAAGCTAGTAAACATAGGTACGGGGCCGAAATCTAAAAGAGATTTAAATGGGTATTATGGGGATTTTCAAGGCATAAGGGGGGCCATGGCTCCCCTCTACCACCCTTGGCTCCACCCCTAGGTGCCGCCTTGGATTCTCCCAACATTCGATTGTCTCTTGTCTTCTTCTTCTTCTCTCTCTCTATTCTCTTACACTTTTGCAGGTCTAAATCCATGTTTTGCAGTTACCTATATCTGGATGACCTATATTTTCACCAACATCAACATTTTAAACCTTGGTTGTTTAAACACTACAAGAAGCATATTTTTGTATATATGGTATAAGGTGCCATTATGTAATGGTAAAATCTCAGGCAGGCAAGCATGAGAACACAGGTTCGAGTTTGAGAGCAGCCACTTTGTCCAAAAAAAAGGCCAAAGGTTAGGACTGTATCTAGTCTACCCCTCCCAAAATCCCAAATAGTTGGGACCAACATCTTTTTGTTACTCATCAAAGTAATAACAGTAACAATGTCAAGGAAGAACTCACTATGCACAATTGTTCATTACTCCTCTTTCGTAGTTTTTTGCATAGAGAACCATGAGGTTGGAAGTTGGAACCAAATGCTTTTGACATGTTTTAATTTGCAATGTGGTCAATTTTTAATATTGCAAACCATTCTCCCTCAGTTAACCCCAAGGAATACAGCATGATTTGTACTTTCTTGGCTCACTTGAGATTATGACTTCATCCAGTCTTCCTTATTGGCAAATTGACAGAACTAATACTTCTAAGATAAAGTACCATTTCAAAGCTTCAAACTCATTACCATACTATTTTCATCT